AAGTCTTTCTTATTTCATTTTTAATGATAAGACCTTTTGGGGGACTTTTTATCCTGTTTCCATTAGGTCTCTCTGTTTGAGCTTCAGACCTCCCAGTTTATAACTTTTGCAATTCTGATCTACTATGGAAATAAGTTATATGCACATGCGTGCGCACACACACAATTTACATGTGATAAATTGTCTTTTTTTTTTTCCTAATCCAGCTGATTTTTCATGTAAAGATCCTACTTTGCTTTCTTGGTTCTTCCTGGATCACTAACTCAGAACAATATAATCACACAAGTCTCAAGTGTCCAAGAAAAATTGTAGAGTCTGGACTAATTTTTGGACCCGTTTCTCTCTCTTTTTTCCTCCCTTTTCCCAGGTTTTTTTTACTTTAATGGTCTAATCTGAGAAGCCCTAGAACTTTACTCTATGTGGGTCCAAAGGGAGAGGATTCAAACCAAAAGTTTAGCTTCAATTTGCTTGTTTACAAATCTGCACTTTCATCTGAAAATAACACTTATCTGAAGAGCCACATGTCTGGAGGTATATCTGGTTCCTCGGTTCCTCTAGGCTGGGCGTCAGTCCACAGCTTTACAGGATGCCCAGAAGATGCCCTGAGTACCAGGCCTTAGGGGAGAATAAAGATGTAGGAAAGATGGTCTCATTCAACTGGATTAGAACCCTCAGACAGCAGGGCTCTTGTTTCTGTGATAGTGACTGGAAAGAAACAAAAACACCAACAGACATTCAAAGGAGGACATTGTGGGCTGGGATTCTAAGTGATGGCGGGACTAGAGTTAAGCCCTAAAGAAAATGTAGAATTTAAGTAGAGAGTACAGCAAAAGTGGGGCTGCCAGGCTAGGATGGTGTCCATGCAGGGCGTGTGTCTGCTGACCTGGCACACCGGGCTGTCTGCTCTTGTACCACCTGCTCCCGAGACCTTGGTCAGTGCTCATAAATGGCGCTGGAATGGCAGCATGGAACGTGGGCATTTGTCTCTCCCTCCACCCCTGCAGGCTCCTAGAACACTGCCGGAAACATAAGTACCTCTCCGGCTCCGGGGAGGTATTCGCGCTCCTGGTCAGCAGCCTCTTGGAGAACCTGTTGGACTACAGAACCATCGTCATGCATGACGAGAGCAAGGAGAACCGCATGAGCTGTACGGTTAACGTGCTGGTATGTGCCAAGCCCCTGGGCTACCGCGAGGCCCCTGCCGGGCGGCCCCGGCACCCCACAGCTCAGCTCTAGGCAGATCTCGCAGACACGGAGGCACCCAGGGGCACCTTCCCGGAGTCTGTGCCCTGCTGAGTCTGGCTGGAACACCTGGCTCAGCTTTGGACTTAGATTCTAGCGGCCATAGACCTTGAGGATAAATTTGGAAACAGGATGGAAAATACGACATAAGCTCTCGATTCAACTCTGTTTTCTGCAGACTGTCCTCAACCTGTCTCTCTGTTGTATTTATATGTGGTCGGTTTATAGGGCAAAGTCGAATATGCATCAGAAATGCTACACCCTGAATAGAGAGTACCTGACGTCTCGGGATGGCAGAACTCTCGGTCTTGCCTTTTTCTGTATTGTTAACCGGGACCACAGACCTCAGAGGTTTAGGTTGCCAGGCCTCCCTCTGCTTAATACGGACCCCAAGAAGACAGTATATGCAGTGGCTTGAATATGAGTCTGGTATCCATCCCATTAGGTTTCTCACAGTCTTCAGAAGTGTAGTTTTTAAAAAATTTTTCAACTTCTTTATAACCTGTCGCTTCCTTTTCATGTGGGGGTATTCCTTAAAGGGAAACAAGGAACTCTTTGGAAAAGTGACACTGTTGAAAAGCGACAATAGTGGTTTTGCCACTTTCGAGGCAAGCTCGTCAACAGCTCTTGATTTATGTTGGTATTTTGTGATCCTGTTGTTTTTTTTTTTTTCTTGCAGAATTTCTATAAAGAAAAGAAGAGAGAGGACATATACATAAGGTAAGTGGAAGGAAATTTTCTGCTTTTGCTATTTGTGTCATGGCTTTGCGATTTATTCTTTCCATAAACAAATACTGTGCCCCAGCACCTTGCTTGTTGCTTTGAGAAACACCTAAAGGTATGTGATATGCTCAGTTCTCCCCGAAAGGATAAACTTTTTAGCTAGATACACAAACAAGTACACCATGAAGGCACGTGTCAGTGAGGTCGTGTCAGGATTGAGGGGAGGGTTAGAAGCCTTCTGGCCAGGATGTTGAGCAGAGGGCGTGAAAACCTATCAAGAAATCTGAGCCTGGAGTCTGTGAATCCCTGAACATGAAACAAACTCATACATAACCGATATGCATGTTCGTGGGGAGACATTCCATAGCCTTCATTAGCGCCCCAAAGGGGTCCAAGACTTAAAAGAAGAAAATTAAACACCACTGCCTTAAAGGGAGAGTAGAAAGTAGACTAGATGGAACAGGAAAGACGCAGAGGCAGGAGGCAGCCCAACGAACTAGGAAGGAACCGACTCCTCGGCCTGAGAGCAGGGAAGCGTGTGCCTGCACGGTAGCAGGGCCGGGGTGGGCAGGGATCAGGCTGGGTCTGGATGTGGAATGGGCCGAGTGCTGGGTCAACGCTCAAGCAACAAAATGCCTGTCTCGCCCTCTTCCCAGATACTTGTACAAGCTCCGCGATTTGCACTGCGACTGTGAGAACTACACGGAAGCCGCCTGCACGCTTCTCCTGCACGCGGAGCTTCTGCAGGTAGACGGGTCGGGGAGCTCGTTTCCACGGGGTGGAAGGCATACCCCACATGTCAGCTGTTCAGCCCTTAGAGACTAAATTGTATCCACTTCATGATTTTGACGAGAAAGAGCCTTATTCCAGGGATACCCTTTTATCCAAGAATATTTTTAGCCCTTCTAAATAGGCACAGCTAATTTTCACATCAAGATTGGTGGAAGTGTTGGTTATCTTTTATTTAAAAATCCTTAGATGCAGAGGACAACTTAAAGGTCTCTGGTCATTGACGTTCTAATTAAAGAAATAAAACACACTTTGATTAATGTATAAAAAGATCTGTAAAACTGCAGAGAGATGAGTTGTAAGTGAATATAGTACCAAAGAAGTCCTTTCTTATTTATACTCTCTCCTTAACGAAAATGATGCTTTGACACGGATTCAATACATCTATACATCAGGAATCTCAAATAAGTATTTCTAGCCCTGACATCCTCCTCTAACTTTGGATTCATATATAAACGGTTCTTTCAACATTGATGTTTGAATGACTAATAGACAGCTCAAACATAACGTATTGGTGACAGGAATCTGTTTCCTACTCCTGCCACTTCCCAACGCATCCTGCCTCCCTTCTCCTGTTGTGTCCCTAAACACCACCATCTACTCTAGTGGCTCAGACAAGCTTGTAGTCTCCTTTGATTCTTCCCTTTTGGTCCCCTGTGTCCACACTGTGCCCCGACCTACCCACTTCTCGTATCTCCCTTGCCGCCCCCCCCCCCCAGTCCACACCACCAGCATCTCTCACCTAGAGTGCTCCGGCAGTCCCCCGTTAGATCTCTCTGCCTCCATTCTTGTCCCCAGCAATTGATTTTCTTCTACAATTTAATTTTTATTTCATAGAAAGCAATACACACGCATTATTCTAAGCTACTAATTAAAGACAGGAGTCTCCTGCCTCGCCAATGCCCATAGGAAATTCACAATTCATAGTTAAGATCAGGGCACAGAAAAAGCTTATTGTGTTAGGGTTAGGGGTGAGGCTTGGTGACTGTGGATTTCGCCGTAGAGTGGCCAGAAAGCAACCCTGGTGTCTGTCACTGTAGGTCTTTTCATTTGGGCTGCTCAGAAAATTAAACTTTCCTGTCCTGGTGTAAGGTACAAGACGTGGATGCAGCTTTTCTCCCCAGAATGCTGTTCAGTAGAGATGCCACTCTGTACTGACTTAAGTGTAGTTCAGATTTTCTTGCCAGCATAAAATCCCATCTGTATTGTGTACTAGATTCCTACGTTGGGAGGGCCTCTCTTTCTAGATCGTATATGCTTTTCCACGGGTCTCTGTCTATTCGTGCACCAGTGCCACACTGTTTTAATTATTAGTTCTTTGTAGTATGTTTTATTATCTGGTAGTTACTCTCGATTGCTCTTCTTTTTCAGAGTTTTCCTACCTATTCCTTTTTGTTTATTTTCCCATATGGACTTTGGAATCATGAAATTTAAAAATTAATTTAGTGAGAATTTACATGTTTATGAAATAGAGTTTTCCTATCCAAAAGCATGGTGTGACTTTCCATTTGTTCACGTCTGCTTTTG